ACAGTGCATGAAAAATTGGGTGTTCTTTTTAAAGTCAAATTGTAGAAACATAGCCTTCTCATGAGCTCTTTGGCACAGGCAGAGAAAATAAGGTAAACTCTTGATGTTTTGCTTTGTTTTTTTCACTGATGGTCAAAGACTGTGATACATCAGAAGTGCCAGGTAGATAAGCAGTTTCTGACGCTTTCCGAAATCTGCTCCTCCATCTTCATAAATATTCTGGCATTCTGGTGGGAAGTGACCCTCAGAAGCTGAGGGAAGGTTTTGGAAATGGTGCCATCAGAATGCTTATTCTGACATCAACATTCCTTTCCTTGTCATCTAATTCCAAGGAACCATAGGATCCTCTTAAACTTTACCTATGTCCAATAATGGGCTGATTGGAAAAAAAGAGCTGAAAATAAATCCCAACAAGAGATATTGCTAGAAAACTAGACTTTGGGGTTGAGGCTTAGCTTGTTTGAGATGAAGCTACAACCCTTAAAAGAGTTAGTTTGCAATCTAGTAGTTATTTCTTGAGTGTTCCTCAACTGTCTCTAGATTTACTGACAGTAAGCAAGGCCAAGCTAGTATATTATGTGCCACCTTTCCTAAGCTAGTCAGATTTAAAAATAATTACCCACAGCTTGATTATATCCTGTCTTTCTTGACTCAACAACACTCTCCATGAAGGGCAACTCTTGAAAAGTCTTTGGAAATTACAAATGGTGCCAAACGTAGTATCCACACTGCTAATTGGTACAAAGTGCAGGAATCGTAGTTTGATTGTAGGTGAAAAGATCAATTTCAGTAACTGGATGTTTGCCTGTCAGAAAGGAATACTAAACATCTTTAACATTCTTTGCTATTTATGATTGATTTCCAGGACTGTTGGTCCCTTAAATGAGCCCATCTATTTGTTAGGATACCCTTTGGTAGACGTCCTTGCTGTCACACCCTGGTCCTTCTGGCACACAGGAGATTATTACTCAGGCTATAGAATGCAATTACCCATACGTTACAAATATCTCAATTCCCTCTACACATAGAAAATCTATAAAGATGCACTTCTTTTGCCAGGCTGTTAACAGTTAACATTAGTATCAATCTTTATGGAGTGCTTTCTGTATAGAAATATAGACCAAGGAAGAAAATCTTAGAAAGCCATTTAAATGACAGTTCATTATATGTAGCAAAAGCTTCTTTTAGTCTTTTATCACAGTATCTTAAGACAGCCTCCTCCTGATTTGTAGATTTTTCTTTATAACAAACAACAGCCAATTTACAGAATAGTACAGGTAATCCCCCAGATATGAGGTTTCTTTCAGGGAATTTTCAACAGAACGAATTTATTCAGAAAGGGTACTTACATTAGAAATTCAAAACTGTGATCAAAAGCAGGCCTCTGTAGCCATGTGACTTGGATTCAGTCACTGTTGCAGCGCCACTATTTTTAACTCTGTGTCTTGTTCTGCCTGTGCTGTTCGTGGTTATGATACAATTTCTGGAAGACGGCAGGGTGATTTTTGTAGCCAGCGCAGCCTCGAGTTTGGTTTTGATTTTTGGGTGCTGCATGAAAGATCTGCTGTTGCCTGGGCTTGAGAACTAGAGTGCTAGAATTGTTCCTGTAAGTATTTTAAAATATTCTTTTTTTGTTACTCTATAGTGCAGTACAGTACTGTTTTGTCTTAAGCACTTTGGGAACTGCTCTGCTTCTTTTTAAGTACTGTTCTATACTTTGCAGACTACAGTATTGTGCTCATAAGTAACATGTAATCCCCAGGTTACAGCATCTCCTAGTGTTTAAGAGCAAGTCCCAGAACTACAAATTTTGCAGCACCACGACAATTGTTCAACCCTGCCGGGCAAGGTCTGCACATGCCAAAATGGAGCTGCAGAGGGGAGATCGTGGCGGAGAGGAGATAGCCTGCTAGATCTTTACACAGTAAGTGACCTGGTGAAACAGTTTGGGTGGGGTGAAAGCACTTGTGGGGAGCATGAGGTTTTTCAGTAGGTCCGTGAGCCTTGGGTATTCTTAAGCAAATGCCCTGTTCCACCACTAGGCCTTCCCAACCTGAAATACTTTATGTGCATTTAACGAACCGTGCATTCAATTAGCGAGAGGGAGCAATCCCGTTCAAGATGTGAGAATCACTCCCAAGAATAGAATGGGTAGGCTCCATTTCATTCGTAACTCAAGGACCAACTGTACAGTCTTTTGCAAAAATAAAGTTTGTTTTCATTTGCTTTGAAACTGTTTGTAGAAATGCTAGCTAGCATCTACACAAGGAATTCTATAATATTGTGTGCTGTATCTCTTCTTAAAACTGCTGTTTTTTCAAATCTGCAAGCTATTTATATGAGTTTTGGGATTTTGCCTGGAGAGGCTTGTGTTGATCAGGACGGTGTTTTTTTTTAAGAGGTTTTAAATCTAAATTGCAAATCTAAATTGCCTCCACACATTGTAGGTTCCCCATCACTGGAGGCTTTTAAGAAGAGACTGGATAAGCATTTATCAGAAATACTCGTGAGAACGGTATTGGATTGGATTAGATGACCACAAGGTTCCTTCCATCTCTCTTATTATTGCAAGACAAGACTTCTGTAAACCCCCCTCCCCATCTCCTGGGTGCCTGGCTGGTGAAGCTTAAGCTACAGGTAATTAGTTGCAGGTGTTTTTTTAAAAAACAAAAAAAAAAAAAAAACCAACTGCAATTGGAGTTCTTTAAATTATCACCCCACACCCCTCTGGGCAGCTGTCTGAAGACACTTGAGCTGATCATCAATAGGTTTTTTTAAAACTGCAAACGAAGACCTCTGTGAGCCTGCTTGGAGGCAATTTAGTTCCTTCCTTGGCTGTACCGCAAAGAGCTGATTGGCGGAGGCGGAAACAGCTGATCAGCAGCTGGGGAGGGGGGGAGTAAGTCAGATCTTCATTCATTTAACGAGCCATTTGATCCAATTAATGAATTTTATACATTTGTACTGACAAATGTATTCAGAACTATGATAGAACAATTAAGAAAATAGCATACAAACTATATTTGGCAATTGAAATTCCCCAAATCCTCCATTACCTAACCAAATAGGACCTGTTGTTGCACCTTACCAAGTCTTGCATATTCTGCTTCAATTTCAGGTCCAGCAGCTTCCAAAATTGCTTTGGAGACACCTGTAAAGAAATGAAAAAATGGGGGAGTATGTATGAATGTAAAAAGTGAACTTAAAACACAACCTTTGCTTGCTTGCAAACATTTCATAGAAAGAAAATTCCTAAGAATTTGTGAGGTGGGGATTGAGTTAGATACTGCATTGATATATCCAACAGAATCGAGCCAGAATACTCTGAAATACTATCTCTGCTTACAAGAAAATAGTTTTAAATCAATGAATCTTCATTTCTCGCTCTCATTCATTCACATACATGCAAACAGACTTTTGTCTTGCCAAGAATGAGCACTTAGCTTATTAGAATGTTCAGAAGATGTTCATTTGAAATTCAGTACCTGCTTTGGATGAAAAGTTTTCATTGGTCACATTCACAATGACATCCGTCTTTTCCATAACAATATCTCCAGTCACTGACTGGAAGGTAATGGATCCAAACTGCATTTCATTACTCCCTAAAGCTGAGGTAGAAATGGATCCGAAGGAACCTGTGACTGAAAAAAGAAACACTATGATTCAATTATAGCACTGATATCCTTGGACTGAGCATTGTCCTCCTATTCTTTGTAAAAGGTATAAATACCTATTTCAAAGTTTAAAAAACTTCAGTTTTTTTAGTCTGTATCCAAGGGAAATAAATCTGTATCCAAGGGAAATAAGGTCTGCACATCTGGGAAATGCTACTCTTAAAAGTGGCACCTGGAACATCTAAGATGCTACGGAACTCTGTTGATTTTTCCATCACCACCAAAGGGTGAAATTAGAAGATCTATGATCAAGATCTAGCAAATGTTTCCAAAATGTTAATAGAGATGTCCCCAAAAGGGCCACTGAAACTGCATATGCCATACTGGAACAATTCTTTGCCCAGTGTGGAAGAGGACATTTGTTGGAGAAAAAAACATGGCTCATTCATATGCTGAAATAACACTTAACAGGTAAACATTACAATCAAGGATTTGCTGAACAAGTTATTCTACTCTACTTTGTGCATCACAAGTTTGGTCTAGTGGTTAAGGTACCAGACTACAAAGTGGGAGACTATGAGTTCAAGTTCCAACTTAGGCATGAAAGCCAGCTGGGTGATTTGGGGCCAGTCACTCAAGAAAAGAAGAAGAGGAGTTCGCCTCCTTGCGTTATTTGTAAAAATAATAAAGGCAGGATGCAAACAAATAAACCATACTAAGCTACGATTCACAACAGTAGCTGTACTTGTACACTGCATTAACTACCAAGAGCAAACATATCATGCTATGGCTTCGCATATGTGGTTATGGGCATTCTGAAAGAAAGTCTAAAACAGAGATTCCCCCAACATTTCCGGCTTTGGCGACTGGCAAAAGGGGGGAGGGCGAGGGAATGATTACATGTGAGAGGCAGCAAGCGCTCACCTGCCACTTCCACAGCCCTCTTCCAAATGGGTCTTCCCAACTGAGCCCACCCATTACCTGCCATTTCTTCATTGCCCGGTGGCACAACCTTGAGAATATCATCAATCCCAGATTGAAAAACCTTTGTAAATACCTAGGGGGGGGGGAAGTTAGCCACATGTTTCCAAAACTATGCAAAGAAGGAACAATAACACCATGGAACAATTCTTGTAACATTTCAATAATGGCACTCAGGATAGTGAGCTTGCAAATTTGGGGATCCTGAGGGACAGTGTCATTGGATGGCGTACAATGAGGGTTTCTACTAAAAATAGGTGGATCCAACATCTTCAATAAAATATAATCACTGTCAGAATAGGAGGAAGCCAGGAAGCTGTTAAGCGCTTTTACTAAAATTTACTAACATTAGGGCAAAATTGCTACACCCCCCAAAAAACCCATGAGGCTCTGGATAAAACTATTTGCTTTGACTGTCCTGAAAGACATCACTGATGCTCATCTTTGAGAAGAAGAGATGATTGATTGGAAGATACTGCCAAATACAATGAGAGTCATATGTACATTATTCCATAGAATATTTAAACATGGTTAATGAGCAT